TTTATTACGTAACGAGAGACGCAAATATCTCTTTTTAATAATTATCATTACGCCAAGGATTTCCTCCGAAGCGAAGCTTATCCAATTGTCATCGTGTGCGCTTTTTAAATGGAAGCTTGCTTCGGAGAATAGGAATATTTCTCATTTCTATCAAGTGGGCGACGCAACCAGGACCGAAGTCGCTGTATCGCGCAAACTTTCGCGCCAGCACGTCGACACTTGGACACGTGGCCTCGGCTAGGCCTTCCAAGAAAGACGGCCGTTCGTGATCGGAAACGTCGGCGAAGCTGCCGGCGATGGGCTCACGAACTAGCGCTAGTAATCAGACGCGAGCTCCTTCACGGCTGAACGCACTTAATTTTTCATGGAAGAAAAATACGAGCCACCCTCTCTCTCTCTCTCTCTCTCTCCCGTACCTCGTTCATCCCCCGTGCCGTCACCACTACCACTACCATCACCACCCCCGTCGCTACCCTCCCCTCGCCGACTCCCGACTTCGATTTTCGCCGTCCCTTCCTGGCTCTGCCAACCGCTGTCCCGCGCTTCCGCCTCCTTTTTGTCCCACTATCCCTGTCCCGGGCTTCTACTCGCCCAGTCGGTCGCCGAGACGCACACAATTTCAAAATCGTTTATAGAAACCAGGGCTTTATTCTCTCTTCCTTGTCGCCGCTGTCGTCGTCGTCGTCGTCCGTCTCCTCTCTCGCACGAGTCACCGTCGTAATTCCCTGCTCGTCGGTCTTGCCCCCCCCCCCCCCCTACCTCCCCGTAACGCTGTCTCGTGCGTTTCTTTTCACGGAGGAAATTTCTGGCGAACGATGAAATCGATACGAGAGGAAACGAGATGATTGGATTGGAGAAGAAGGAGCGTTCTCTCCTCTCCTCTAAACCATGGCGCGCGGCCCCTCTCGACGAGACAATCGTTGGCCCGTTCGAAAGCCGGGGGCTCCTCGCGACAGCGTGTTTCGGACGCGGTAAGCGCTAATGACACGTCGGATCGCGTGTATTGCGTATGTAATAACGCGAATTTCTTATCGAATATCTCCCGGATAACAGAATTGCTAAGCGTAGGAAATCCAAATCACCAAAGACACCGTCGGACGATGTACCTGATATGGTAATAACAAAACGGCCGATCCGGATAATTATGATTATAGCAAACGGATCCACATATTGTATATTGGATTAAAGCCGACTCCAGAGGATGTGCAAATGTAAACGAACGTCGGGAATTATATCGATTACGTATATTATATTGTTATTTATGTTATTTTTTATCACATTTGTTATATCGTCACGTATATTATTCGCCCAACATATGTGATCGATATAATCGCCAAGATTCGCCTATATTTGTCGCATCGTGAGGGGCTTTAAGTTAACGCATACATTCGCGCGCATCGCGCGGGGTAAGAGCAAGCTGCAGATCTTGCGGACACGTGTACGGTATTGGGAAAAATGAACGACATCGAGAACGAGGTGCGCCATGTTGCGGTAACTTCGCTCTTTGTAACGCGACAAACGCTATAATTGTACGTGTACCGACGCGAAAACAATGCACGACGAGACGATTCGCGTGATCACGCTCGTATTTTGATACAACAATACGCGCATATGACACATTTCGGTGTTATCCGATTTGAATGGAGCGGAAATTTAATGAAGAGTTATACTAGTGGTTATTATCGATCGCCGCGATAACGCTACGAATAATTAGAGACCCATTCTTGTTGATTTCGTCATAATTGGAAATACGCGCTGCCATTTGATGCGAGTCGTTCGGACCGGCGGTACAAGTGTACAAACGAAACACGCACGCGTCTCTCTCTCTCTCTCTCTCTCTCTCTTTCTCGCTCATGTAGCTGTGACTCGTGTAATTTAGCTTTCAGTCAATGAAAGTCGACGTCTAAACGAAATGTTATTTAGAACCGGAAGCTCGCGTCGAACCGACGAATACGAGAACACGGCGCGTTGCACACGCGTTATCGGCCTCTCCGTCGTGGAATGTCTCGCAATTTTCCGAGAAAATTGCGATTTCGAGGACTAATATTTACCGGGTCCTCGCGCGTCTTCGCGAGCGCGGGACATCTTTTGCGGACGCGAGGTGTCTTCCGTCAGAATTAGAGAAGTCGCCCGCGGCAACGGCAGGCGCCCGGTAACGAGGGGCTTTCCGTCGGAATTGGTTGTTTTAACAACTGCGCAGCACTTTGAGATTCGTGAACGAGAAAGGAGGAGGAGGAGGAGGAAGTACGTCAGGAAGACAGAGAGAAAGAGAAGAAGAGAAGGAGGAGGAGAGGTGGGGAGAGGAGGGGGGGGCGGAAAATAGCGCGAAGGATCTCCCCCAAATAGGGGATGGGCGAGAAAATACGCGGTGCTCGCGAGAGGACGCGCGCTTCTGAGGTAGGAGCTGCGAGCGTAATAGTCCAATTTACCGGCAAAGGAAAATATCGGAGGATCCTGCGAGTGAAAGGAGACTCGCGTTGCCGCCCCCGGGGATAACGGCAACAGCGTTATTCGGAAAAGGCTGCTGGAAAATTGGAGGCGCGCGGAAGGAACCGTGGAGAATACCGAATCGCCGGCCCGGTACCGCCGACCGACTCTTTTTCCGCGAGAAGCACCCACGGCTTCCTTTCGGGGTGCTGAGCGTGTACGGTCCGGTGGAGTCGATTATCCGAAATTATCGCACGATACCTTAACGCGTACTTCAATTAAGCACGATTATTCCTTTGACTATAGAATGGATGGCCAGTATATTGACTATAGTCAAAAGATTATTCCAATGCCGAAATGTCAAACATTGACTCCGGACTACGCGCTATTAAAGTGTCATACGTGGCTGGTTTTCGGACATCCTGTATACACGAGTGAAAATGTTCACTTAAATTCGGCGCTGTGTCTAATATTCGGTGGATACGGTGGCCTGCGATCAACATGTGGTTCGTACGGATATATTGCGGTTTCACGTCAAAACATTTTGAGAAATTGGCGGTGCCGGACCACGCCCCGCCACTTTCAAACGCTAATCGGTAACGAGAGACTTTCTTTAGTCGAAATTCGAGCGCGTCTCCACGCCCGCTGTCGGATCTTAAATCGCACCCTCGGCAGGGTGCCTTGTGCTTTCCACGTGAGGTCAAATGACGCGCGGAACACGTACCTAGATTTGTTAAATCGAAAACGTCTATTTCGCCGCGATTACGTAAATACGATAAACGATAAATTACGTAAAACGCGAATCTGTCCTCAAGATTCAACAATAAAGTTAAATTCATCCAATACGCTTTTGCTTCCAGAAAATTATCAATGAAAGAACTGAATAATCTTCAGATATAATTCACGTTGAAAGATCAATTATATCTTTCTCGCGGAAGAAACTTTTGGACGAAATATTATAAATAATTATAAAACCTGAAAGAAAGTTTGCTTTTTGGAAAGTAACATTTATTCTTAATTAATGTGGAAGAGCGGATACTCTCATAGAAATGATGCGGTCATTTCTATCAGTATTGGCAAAAATATTAATAACGTTAGAGGACTGACGATAACGGAACATATATCCCACACAGATACCCGAGAATCTCCAACGATAACCAATCGCTTAACTGTACAATATGACAATGGATATACATAGCGCGCGAGTGCAGGAGCTCATCCCCATTACATGCGAAGCTCATCCTCAGTAATCATTTTCAACCTGTCATCTCTTGTTTCGAGCGACATCGCTTTGCGGACGAAACGGGCCGCGCTTAATGGCTCGGAAAAATCGAAATCATCGCGCACATGAATACATAAGCAGTTTTTTCGGTCTCTCGGTGGGCACATGACGTCATCATATGGCACAGTAATGGTTATCGCGCATCTGTGGTAGGACTCTTTGTTAAGGAATTACGCGAACGATGATAGCCGGTATCGTTCATTCTTGCTGCTTTACTAATCGTACCTTTTCCCGGAACTTCCGTTTCCCCGTCCGTGTTCTCGAATTAAAATGCACCGATAAGATTTGCATTCCTCGCGTGATCTAGAAAATAATGCTTCGCGGAAGAAGCGTCGATATTCTCCTCCTTTTCCCCTCATCACCGCGTTACGCTCGAAGACTGCAAAAATTATTATCTTGCATAATAGCCCGCTGAAAACAAAATTGACTTACGCGAGTTCGCCGTTCGTGTGACACTGTAGACAGAATACGTGACTCGAGGATATTGCTTTTATTACGCGGCGGTGGAACAAGCACCGAATCAATTTTTCACGGCTCCCGCATCCGAAAAGCGTCATAAATTCGATGCGACGGCGTGAACACGTTTACGATTTTGGTAGTCACTCGCCGCCTCGAGGAGAAAAAGAGAGAGAGAGAGAGAGAGAGAGAGAGAGACCGGCGAATTTTCGTGCACGTCGCGCAAAACTGAGACCGGAGGAGAGCTTCGTTACTGCCTTATAAAAGCGTTAGGTCGTCGCGTCTTTTTACCGCCAGCTCGTCGAATTCCGAGCGAGTTACGATTTTCCGCGGAAAACGCGCGCACAGTCTCGATAAAATATGCGGGCTCGTCAAAGTCTTCTTCTTAAACTCGCGCGTTTTATCGAGTTTCTTTAATAATTCACTTCTTAATAATTCACTCGAGTGTCATGTGGTAATTCAAGAGAAATTGATATTAGTGCTGTCTGTCATATTTATTTTCGTAGGCATTTAATCCAGTGAACCTCCCGTTTGCAAGAGATATTGATTTTCCTGTTTTTCACAATATATAACCGATAAGTCGATTTTAATTATATTTTACAAGCAGAAGAGTTGCTTTACGCCTATATTTCGCTAATTACTCGCGTCTCATTTCGTTCCCAAGTGACTAAAAACATCCAATACAGGGGGAATATGAATATCCATTGGTGACGGATCTTAATTAAATGTTCCCAATTAATTAAGTGTCCTACGGAATTTTCCTGCGTAATAATCGTGTACAAGTATGTGTTACAAAGTATGTATCTTATATAATATATATTTATGAAAATCTTACCTGGACTCGCGTTCGAGAATGATCCTTTCGACTGGGAAAATCCTGAAACACAAAAGGAGAGGAAAAGATATTAATTTAACGTGCCATTACCGGGCCACACTTACAAGCGCATAGCCCCGTTAATTAAAAAAGAATTCGTAAGTTCGTCGTCGCTAAGCTAGTCGCGGACTTGCTAGTAGAGTTTCGCTAGAAACTACGTTGCTCGGTTAACGCGCGGCAAACGGGAATCTCCGCGTTAATTGGGCGCGCTAAAGCACACTCTTTCGTTTTACATCGCGCAAGTGTTCCGCTTGGTCTCTAAAGAGAGTTACGGAGCGAGAGCGTGCGCTCTTCCTGTTCGCCCGCCATTGCCCGAGAATATTCTAATTGGTCTTTATTCGTTCACACGCTTCCCGAAAATTGCCAAGATACACACTTTTTTCCCCCCCCCCCTCTTTCTCTACTCGAAACGATCCCTCTGTGACGAAAAAGCTAACGTTCAATGAAAACGTCTCGTCGACGGGGAAATAAACACCGGGGTGTATTAAGACGCTTCGGGACTTAGCCACTTTCTAATAAAGTCATCTCGGCGCGCGCGGATGCTGGGGTGGAGGAAAACAGGGGTTGAAAAAGATTTGCCCCCGCCTTCTGAGAAAGTCGGGGGCTCTCTCGTCTTCGCCCGGGTGGCTGCGAGGGAAAGAGAGACAGACTTTGCGCGTTCCGAGGGAAGATCTTGGCGCGACGATGACGGTGGCAGAACTGCACCCCCCAAATGACTTTAACGAGCCGGCATCTTAAAACTGGGGGTTGCCAGACTTGACCCGGCGCGTTCGCGCGTTTGTTTGATAAATTAACTTCGGGCGAAGAGCGCGGCGGGGTGGCCCAACACGGCAGTCCGGTCTCGAGAAGAGCGGTGTGCGTTTCCTTCGAGGGGAAAATCGCTTCGAGTGGGGACATTAGCGAACGGGCCTAACGATATTTATGCGAAAATGATCGCCGATCGCTTGTTAAAACGCTCCGAGTCTGTCACGTCGCGCTCGTAAACGTAGCTTCGACTCTTTTATACGTATGTATACGTCTTGATGATGAAACGATCACTCTTTTGATGGAAAGCACGTGACTAGTAATTTATCCCAGCTCGGATTGACCTTAACTGGTTGTCGGGTTCACCTAAGTCCGTTATATTATTAGTTATATTATCTTCCTAAGAAGTCATGTAACGCTGCATGATGATCAGGATTCATTATGTCTTCATCAGGTTACATTATTGGATCACTATCATATTTTATCTCAAGTAACGGAAAGGATTATGCTTAGGTTAGGTAGGTTAGGCGCCGCTACCAACGTATCCTGCTGTTTTCCGTTCTACCAGAGGCGTCGATCAGCCGAGAGGAAGAGAGAACGAGAGAGAGGTCATGGTGTCACACGCGTGCGCTACACGGAAACCACTCCAAATAGAGACGTTTCGTCGGAAATCGAGCTCACATTCAGCGCGATATCGCGCGCACCGTTGGGAAACTGTTCACTTCGGAATTCGAACAGCGTGCGCGACGACCGCCCCGATCCGGCATTCTTCGGCATTTTCCCCATTCGCGTTTTTCCTTTCACGGCCGTCGAGCGTGGTGAAACTTAAACCTCAATCGCGCGCGCCCGGCTGGAAGGTTTCAGATTTTTTGAAAACCCCCGATAATAATGCGTTTTGTCATCTCTCTCTCTCTCTCACACCGGTCGACGTTCAGGAAGGAAGGAGGGTAGGAGGGTGAGAGGGGTCGAGAGGGGAAACGGGCGGGCGGACCTCGCATTGAGAAAAATCCGCTTCCTAGGCTCGTGTTACTCGGCGTATTTTGACAAGATCTTATTGTCGTCGCGCAGCTAAGCCCTATTGACCCTATTATGGCCCTATTAGTATTATACTAGGATTTGCGGTTACTCCTTCAAAGACGTCCTCCACGGGTCTCTCTTACACGACCGAAGGCGTGCAGGCGGACGGACAGACGGACGGACGGATGGCTGTGGGACACGCCAGCCCATTCAACACGCTGCTCGAGCGTGTCTTCTCGATAGTCATTTCTCGACGATTTCTATCGAAAGGACCTCGAGTCAGCCTCGAGACCGTAAGTGAGTTTCCTTGGGATCTCGAGGAAGAGGTTACCGCGTTGCAATAAGCTCCCGTAATCATTTAAGGATGGACTTTGACGTATGTCACTTGGTAATAACCAGTGAATTATGAATGTCATCAATTTATCAATTTTGTGTTTTAGATGTTTTTCTCATGAAATATCTTTTGTCGTTTATTAGATGTGTGAAAACTTTTGAAATAACAAAGTAACCGTTCGAAAATTAAAAGATATTGCGAAACGGTGTGGAAAGTCGGTAATTAGAAAGAGGCAAGTTGAAAGAATTGTGTATCGCTAAGAATAAAAGGACGAAGCAGGAACACGAAGAAAACGTAGAAATGAGGAAGAAATACAAACGACAAAGAATCGATGTATGAGCTACTTGAACAGTATGTACAAACGGAAGGGGTAAAAGCGGCAAGGACATTTGATCGGGGAACCTAACAAAAATGAGAAGCAGGCAGGGAAAGATGTGCCTACACATGTCAGAAGACAAAAACGAGAGAGCCGAAGGAAGAAGGAAAACTGCATAATAAATGACAAGAAAAAGAGAACATCAGCGGCAAACAAGTAAGTGCAAGAGCGTGATATACGATCAAGGGATCGGGTATACGATAGAGAGAAAGACAAAGAGAGAGAGAGAGAGAGGGAGAGAGAAGGAAAAGAAAGATATATATATATATGTCGAGTAACGAAGGGATGAACGGATGAGAGAAAGGGTGGTAAATATGTGCGCGAGCGAGGCAGGCATCAACGAGAAAGGGATGCGAGAATGAGAGAGAGAAAGAGACAACCGCGCGACGAAGAAGAAAGAAAGAGGGAGAAGGTGAGACTTGAGGGAAAAGCAGAGGAAGCGGGTCGTGGCACAAGGAGGAGGAAAAAAGTGGAGGAGGAGGAAAGGCGCGGAGGAAGGGACAACAACGACGCGCGTGTGTTCGAGGCGTGAATTCACGTATGCCCGCGAAGCACTCTTTACTGAGGACAATCGAGGTGTTGGGCTGGAAATCCGTACCAATTTGAGCGACTTACGCGCGCTCGCTTGAAAGCTCAGCAACGGCACACGTGCAACATGCACATCCGCGGAATGTGCGTATGTAAATACGTGTATGTGTGCGTGCATGTGGCGTCGTATGATTGCCACAATGCATGGCATCGCACCACGTCGACTAGCAATCGGATAGAGTCTTATGTCCAGCTGCATCAGTGCTAACCGATCGGCGAGAGTCGTGTTCGACTCGATTTTCATCGAATCCAGTCGAAACAGAGAATTTGTCTCTGAGAAATAACTATTTTACAAAGGACCGCAATTTATATAAAAATCAGACCGCATCACAGACTTCTGTGTATTACTAGACTGCTAACTCCGTTATATACTATGTCACAAAATGGACCCCAAAAAGTATGTATTTAGATCATTTTCGTTATGACTGCAAGGCCACTTTTTCGAATGTTAGTTTCTCGGAAACGACCGCAATCACACACACACACACATAAATAACATCGGCCGTGAAATATCCTCTTCGACAGAAGGTAATCATTAATACGCAAAAGTGTTGTCCGAAAGCAAGGCGCACTCTGGGCGTAAAGCGAATTACAATTTACACAGATTTTTCCTCATTCCTTTTCCGATTCGTTCCATTTGCAGCAGCGGCGGCGGCGGCAACAGCAACCCTCGAAGTTCGGTCTTCATGGGGCGCTGCTCTATACGCTCGCGGGGCGCGGTAATGGACATAGTTTGTCGGTAATGTCCGAGACTAATTCCCGTGTTATTTCATTAACGTCCCGCAGGTCCCGAGGGGTTAAGCGTCTACGGCAACGGGTTCGCCGGGCGTCGCGCCGACGCGTACACCGCCATCGTCGCTCCTAGCTGGTCTCCCCCCCGCCGCTCCGCTCCGCGAGTTCTCCTCGTAGCGGGCGCGTGTCAAAGGGTGAAAATTTACGAGGTGAGTGCCTCGCGCGCGAAAAGGCCGATTGATAGCCGGCCGTATGTACGTGCACCTATACTCGCGTCGCCTTGAAACAATGACGGCAAGTTTATGGCACGGCGAGCCATGGTTACCTACCCCCGTTAGCGCGCATGTCCTCTCGCCTTAGGGGGGAGAGGCGGTAGATCGATAACCGTTTGTATGTCGATAGCGCGGCGCCAAACCAGGGATTCAGAATCGAACGCGCGCGGCCCTAGTCCGCCGCCGATATTAAGCTATTATCGCAACCCAAGAGCTTTTTTCGCCCGACAACAGCGACGAGCGTTGATCGAGGAATTATCGCGTGCGATGTCGAGTAGGGCTGGTTTTTTTTTGTTTTCCGAAGGCTTCGACGTTCGAATCTCCGAAGGTTCGGAACTTCGGTATTCATTATTCGAATTTCTAACATATCGAAGTTTCGAAGTTTCGAAACGGAATTATAAGATTTTTAAACTATGCAATGTCTGATACATCCATTTATTCATAAAAGTTCACTTTTACCATTTTTGTCAGTATTCGCTGAATAAAATATATATGAATCTTAATCTACAGCATTTGTGCAAGATTGCACACGCAAAAAATTAGTCACAAATCAAGAATAGATTTTCTCATGTATAAGCAAGGATATTATAATCTTCTTAGAAGATTTTTAACCTTGAATGGAGTTATGCTATATGATTTATTTTATGCTATGCTTTTATGCCACATGATTTATCTTAAATACGCTATTTATATAATAGCCGATATATTATTCGTTAATTAGACGTCGATTTAAAAATTACTGCGATTTTCACGAGAATTAACCGTCATTATGTCTCGTGTTATCGTTCGGCTCTGTGCCGAAAAGTCCACGTAAATTGTAGACTCGCGAATTACCCGAAATTAGTATTTGACGGATATGTAGCGCACACAACCATCAGCCGAACGAATTTGGAACTTCGATGTCATTTCGCATCAAAATGTATTACAAGCTCGCGCGAAT